CTGCAGGACGTCTTTTAAGTCTGTGCGATATTGGGTAATGTGATGTAACATAATCAATTCATCAACAGCCCTTTTACGTTTCCCCTGAAGGGACTCAGACCTTCCTTATGAATGGTTAAAGAGAATGGGCCTACGCGCGGGCCCAATGCGGACTGGAGGGTACGACTACAAATGCAGCCCTGACCAACATCGTAATTTGCCTTACGAATCTGAAGTATGGGAGTATTATTTTTAGTCACCCATCCTGTAACCGACCCTTGCGAAAGTAACAAAAACAATCGCGAGCTGCGACGCTTATCCATTACACATTCGAGCTGCTGACAAAAAATATAAATTACTTCGATCACATTATCGAAAGCTCTTTGCTATACGAGTTTATTTACTAACAAAAAAGTTTCAAATACATTTACTAGGTAGAATCAACTAGCCATTATTATATATATTTCGTACCTAGTCTATCAATAATCAATTGTAATTTTTAAACAAAGGATGTGTTATCGACTCGTTAAAGAAAAACAATATGCTAAATGGTGATTATTCAGATAGCAGACACAAAAAAAAGGGAAGTCAGGTTACTATCGGCTAATGCATTTCCAATACGAATAAAAAAAGGTTACTGTCGGTGAGTTTTGTTGCCGACAAACTTAAACCGTTCATAATTACTCACGCACGTTATCTTCACCATGAAAATTACGACGGTAAGTTGAGTTGAAACTCTAATATTTTTCTATTATTTAATTGACAGACTTAATACATTTTTTAACCTAGGTGTCATCTTTATAAGTATGTAGAAATACGATATACTGATATATGAAAATTTACCATCACCTGTTATTTGATTAGGACAAACTATGTAAGTCAGATAGCATGTAGAATAATAATTTAGGGGCAATCAATATAAAACAATATTTCGTGTACATCATTATTTTTATCAATTCCCCTCATCTGGTATTCGATAAAATCGAGCATTAACCAAGAGCACGTCTAAAATATCTCTTCGAAAAAATATAGATGGCATAAAAAAAGACATATTTTTGCAAACATTTCTAATTGTTTGTAGAGCCATGGTACTCGCCAACCACCTATCTAATAACTGTCTAACTATGAGTAGCCAAAAAGGAAATTAGACAACTTATATTATTTTATTGTTTGAATTTTATTTTTGGCAAAACAAAAAATAATTTGTTATCATAGATTCGGTTATAATATTTGGCGTTAGGTGTGTTCGTTAGAAAATGTAATTAATTGAAACACAATTGAAGTATTAGGAGCCACATTAATGTTAGCAGAATTGAGGCCATGGTCACCTGTGTTGTATGGCTTACAATGGAAGCTTGTAAACGGTCATGATACATACGGATGCAATATAGTGATTATTGTTAGTAGTAGGTAAACTGAAAACGTTTTCCTACACACAGGGTCGACCCATACATATAGACAAATTAGGCAACTGCCTAACGCTCTCCTATTTGGAGGACAGCTCAATGTTTTTAAAGGCAGATTACGTTTGTTTTTAAATACAATGAACCTTAAAGTGCAGTACTTAAAATTCAGACACAAGTACCTTAGGAGTTTTGTGTCATTAGTAACATTACACTGTTTAATCGGTGAACCTACATTAGTCTTTTATTTTGTTGTGATTTTTTTATGGGCGCGATTCCAGTGTTTTGTCTAGGGCACGAAGCTCCACTTTTGCCATGGGCACTCAGGAACTACTGGAACGAATTGAATGTTGAATAGGTATCAAGGACCACTTATCAAGGAAGGCTTTAGGCTATATTAAATCAAGCTATGACTTATAGGAGTGGAGCAGCAATGAAAAATGTTACAAAAACAATATAAATATTTGAAAGTTGATTAGTGGAAATTGCGCAAAAATCATATTTTACGAAATTGATCCTCTTTATAAGTTCTAAAAAAAGGCCGCGGCAGCATATGTCTATCTTATACTTTATTCTGAAAAAAAAACACACATTATGAGATGAAAATTGGAGAATAAGGTCGTATAGCGCATTAAATCGTTACCATAGTAACCATAGTTTACAATCAATTTGTCATTTTAAACAATTCAATCTGTCTATGCAGGATTAAATAATGTTTTGAATAATTTTAATCAGTACAATATTTGTCGCTAATATTAAATGCAAGTAACTACACGAAAATGTTACATTTAGCTGCCTCTATTAAGCACTAGATGACGCTACTGTATTTACAACGTTTAAAACGGGATTTTGATTTTTGTAGTCTTTATTTTTCAAATGTTAGCAAAGCAACTTTTATTTTCAATTTTGCATTTGTTCAATAATATAATTATAATAATATAATATAATAATATAATTAATAGCGCGATAAAATAGTGTTACATATGGCGGCCTCTACTGAGCACTAGATGACGTTACTGTGTTTTCAAAACTGGTTTGTTAGAATTGTATGTAAAGAATATTTATAATTTTAACACAAGATTTCCTAAGGAATTACATTTTCCATTTATTAGAACTGACTATTTATAATAATTACATATCGGTGAACTAAAATTGTTGACACAATCACTTTTGAAAACATTGTTATTTCATAAATGTTTTTTCAGTAAAAGAGTTTTTAAATAAAATATATTATTTAAAACATTTTATTTGAATAACATATAATAGTTAATCTATCTAAATATATATAACTCAAAGGTGACTGACTGACATAGTGATCTATCTACGCACAGCCCAAACCACTGGACGGATCAGGCTGAAATTTGGCATGCAGGTAGATGTTATGACGTAGGCATCCCCTAGGAAAGGATTTGATAAATTCCACCCCTAGGGGGAAAAAATAGGAGATGAAACTTTATTTCAGGTTTTTTACACAATATATTGAATAAATATAATAAATATATATTGAAAATATTCGTTAGAAATGCTGCTCAGAGTAACTTTACCACGCGGACGAAGTCGCGAGCATAAGCTAGTAACTAATTATGTATCTACAAATTGTTTAAATGAATGCATGCCATTTAACAGTAGAATATAAGATATTTATATTGTTTTCTTTATTGTAGTAGTTGGTTAGAGTACCTACCTATCTTTTCATAATCTTTGCGTTACGTTATAAAAGTATTAACCGTTTTTTTGCTTTCCAGAATAATTTAATTCTCTTTACTTACGTTCACGAGTCACATAATTGTAAAAACTATAGAGGTTTGATTATTTGGGTCTACTAAAGTAGATGAACATTAATTTAATTGTTGTGCTTAAATAACGTGAATTACCGTAAATAGATTTTTAATGAATGCATGTGTTTTATATGCAAAATACTTAGCCACGAGTCAACTCGTGGGTCAAATTCCATTTTTTGTTTAAAAATACAAACCAAAATTGATTAATTATACGTGTCTCAGATATTCTATTTCTGTGTCGTTTCAAAACTCACTTCACTTATACCACGAAACGTTATTACCAATTCAAGGTTGAGCGGAGCCGCTTTTTGAAGTGGATTCGGACACCTGAGTGGATTCGAATTCTGGTTTGGATTTTTACAGAAGCACAGGGCAGGTAGACTAAGCTTACTATCTCCAAATATAAGGTTCTGAAAAGAAATCTACAATATATACTACAATTCCTTCTATTACAGTAGTAAGCAACGTTAAAAGATTTGATCTTCTGTGATGATCGTCTAAATCGTCTGATCGTCTTAATAGCACTCTGAGCAATGTTAAAGTCTCCATTTGGTAAGATTTAAGTTTTTTAATCTTAAAAACAAAATCATTTTACAATTAATAGTATACATGGAATGAACCGCGTCAGCTCACTCTTTTTATATTTAATTGTACTAACGTTATTTTAAAATGAGTTCGTTGGCCGTAACTATATATAACTTGCTAACTGTTTTCCCGCGACTTGGCCCACGTAAATTGTCATACGCGTCAACGTATACTGTAGCTTTTCCTATGTGAAAGGATTTTTTTTAATCAGACCGGTAGTTTCAAAGTCTGCTCGATGCAAACGAACAAATCTTTACCCCTTATAATATGAGCATTGTTTTGTGCTAATAGTATGATTAATAAGTCACGGTACTCTTTAATGAAACAAATAAAATATTACAATATTATTTCTAAAGCTGGACTCTTCTCCATTCTAGTACTTTGTCTTTCCTCCAGTTTTTTTTTGGTTATCATTTTTATAAATATGTCTTTTATTTATTTATAATACATAAGCCCGCAATCCGTTTTCTTATTTGATATAGTGTCCTTTAACCAAAGGTTGCCGGTTAAAAAATGCTACCTTAGCAATAAGGTCGCGTTTTGCATTATATTCTATTTGTTTTATATTTTTTAGTGCAATAAAATGTACTCATTCAAGTTCTTTGAACTGAGTTTTATACGAGAAGGACGGTTTGGCCGCAAACAGAACGAGTAATTAAGTATAAATATTTCATTTTCAGGAACTCATGTTGATATTTATTAAAATGAACGATCTAACCGCTGCGCAGGCGCCGAGAACAGGCCAATTTCCCCGAGCCGTAGTCGTCACTGCCACCGAGGGCGTCCAGAACGAGGCCTAAAGAGCTCCGCTTATATGTCAACCTAAGGTCATCCGGCGATACAGTTGCCAACTACCAATCCGCAACTGGAACGGTAGATCTACCTAAGAAGTGGTGTATTTATACTGGTGATGATAATGAGAACTGTCACTGATCAATACGAGATTATAGGTATTTGATGCTGCGTTTAGCAAGTGTTAAGGTTCAATCTAATGCAGGTATTGAAGTTCGTTACTTGTCTCCTGAAACAGTGACATATTGACATCTGATTACCTACAAAAATGGCAACATTATAAAATTTAATATAAATAATGCTATTTCTCTTTTTAAACATTTACATCTTCCGCGGGATGACTAACAATCAGCTAATAATACATTCTTCGATTATAAGTACTTCGCCTACAGGTTAAGGACAATAAGAATTATATTAATTCTATAAAATAAAATACATTTGTTTATTTTTTATTTTATTTAAAAATAAATTATCATACAACTTGCACCAATAACAACAAAATTTTGGTTTGAACAACTCGAAACCTCAACTTTCGCTCAAAGCATAATCATCGACCTATTATTATTGCATACAGAATACAAAAAATATTATTCTATACACGGTGCGATAAGTTTGACCTAAGATTACATTATTTTAAATTAATTTTATGCTTTTTCGCATTCACAACAATTCAAAGAGATTCGCCCTTATTTGTCATAGTAGCTGAGGCCATAATATCGCAAAATGCTAAGACCAATCTAAGGCCAAGACATTCCTAAATTACAAACCTCTGCCTTAAAGCAACGCAATTACTCACACAAAAATTATACATATAAAAAAAACTGTTAAAGTAAATAAATATAACTCTACTTAAACAAAAACAGTTTGATACTTGCGTCTTAAATATAAAAAAAAATGTTGTCAAACATTGTGTAGGTACTGTATTCTACCGTTATTAGAATTACAAAACACTAAAAGGTAGAAGGCACGGCATAAAAATATTTCTCCTACTTATACTAGGGTACACATACATATTTTGTACCCAAATCACTCGAGTATAGAGTATACTATAGTAATCGGCAGACTCAATTGCACTTATAAAGGTCCTACTTAATAACCATTAAATTCTTCATAAAAAACATTATTTATACTCAAAATAAAAATAAATCTAGTTCAATTGAGAAAGATCTTAGTTTTAATTTCTTTTTTAAAGGACCTTATATAAACGACGAGTACTATAATAGTGCTATTGTTTTTTTTTTCTACGGATCGGAGTAAATTTGAATTTATACAGATAATGAATAATTTTCATATTAATATTGATGTTAGTGTTGTTTTTAAGTATTTCATACCAAAATCTCACAAAATTTGATATAAAATTAATGATATTGGTACTCTGCGGGATTTATCTTTAGCTATAAAATTTGATTTAAATATTTGACATTCTAAAACAAATATACTTTATTGTTCTCTATCAGCGTAAATAAGGTTAAGATGTATAAATAACTATGGTAAAGTGCAAATTGTGATCTAATCATTCAAAAATGTGTTTAATAGACAAGTTTTGAGTGTATAAGTATAATTAAAAAATGAAGTGGCCGCTCCGTTAGTGCAATATTATTTTCACTCGCGTAAATGAAAAAATGTCATCAGTATCCTCTGTTTCTTTTAGTTCGAGACTTCCTAATGTAAACATATTAACTAGTAAATTATTTTAATTGACCGAGCAAGAGACACTGTGTTTGTCTTATTGCGATTTCAAAATTTTCATTTTCATAATATATAGCCTATTTACAATATTAGGATTAATAATTTACAAAATCTACTAAATCATTAATTTATACAGGTTTTTAAAATTTCCTCATGTCAATATTTTGCTGTAGCACTCTGCAGTACAATAACAAAAACTTATATTAAAACAATAGAAAATTCATAAGTTCATTGAAATGAAATGAAACTTTTTTATACAGGTGGTTGATCTTCTAAGCCTATAATATTGTTAAATAAATATAGCGTTTAGCAAATCAATTTTATACCACCTGGAACTTTTATATGAAGACGTTACTCGATATGTTCTCTATACTAACATGCTATGTGTAACTTCTAACTTTGTTGATCTCTCTATTGTTCGAATGTCACAATTCATAGAAATACTTCGCACTGTACGAGAACTGCTAAAAAGATTCTGTGCTAAGTGAAAAAACGGTGAAATTAACTATTTATGATTCACTCAAAATAATATAAACCTAATTTTAGAAGAATAGACATATTAAATTAATCATCCAATCATGCATCAGTCACATTAGTAGATACTGTACAAATATTTAATATTCCGAGTATTTTTCATCGAAGTAAGCATAATCGAAAATCAGTTATTTTTAAAGGAACTTGTTGCCTAAAAAACTTTTATAGTTAGGTACATTACTAAGCATATTAAGAAAAAAAAATATCAATAAGCGTGGTTTAAAAAAACGAATAATAATTAGAGAAGGCAGTGTCGTATAATCAAGTATCAAGATTTTATAGATGCACTAACATTAAGTTATTGTATTCAAATAAAATTATAGAACTCAATATTAATATTTCACATTTCAATTTAGTCTGCTATGTGTTTAAAACAAATAATACTCACTTGTATTAACTTAAATATGCTCATTCACAGATGTATTGTCATCTTTGTTATGATAAAAACTTGTTAAGTGTACAGAGCATAAAATACACGCAAATAAATACGCAAATCGTTACTCTATAGCTACGTGATAAGACAGCTAATGTTATTCAAGGTGTTTGTACATATCCTCTATTTGTGGTTTGAAATAGCTTCTGATTTCTGGTCGTTTTGCCTTCATGGTGGGTGTTAGTAGACCGTTTTGTACCGAAAACGGATCGGGGTGTAGATAAACATCTTTGACCTGTAACAAGACAAATGGTAAGTTCGTCTTTTAGTAGAATAAAAATTAAAGTGTCGTCGGTTATTCTCAATAACAGGGCTGTTAAAAATTCTTGTCATGTTAGGAATTTCAACTTCATTTGTTTTGTTAGATATTATAAAATAACTTTTCTTTTTTTAAAGTTACCAATAAATATTTTCAGTGAATACTGCAAAATCATTATTATAAAATTGCTTGTCAGCCTCCGCTGAATGTATTTGAAGAATGTTTTAAGTACCTAGTAAGTCTTGTTTCTATCTTTACACATAATATCAAAATAAAATTCTTTTAATTAAGTCATCATAATCCATGTACCTGTTCGAAAGTCTTCAGGCCGGCAGTCTTGCCCCACTGCAGCATATCTTCCATGATTACCTTCTTGACGCGTTCGTCTTCACATAAAGACGAGAATGTCCCCTTGATGCCGTTCTCCAGTGCCCAGCATTTTACTACGTCCACATCTGGCACCACAACGGCTACTACGCATGACTGGAATAAAAAAAGAATTGGTCTTACAAAATCAAAACACTCAAAAATTCTTGCAGATCAAAGATATGCTTAGGCGAACATTCTATTATTATCACCCCCGCCCCCATGAAGTAACGTAAAATCATATTAACCCGCAAATTTAAGGGCTTGTGTCCTTACACGTTTTATGCGCGAGATTGTTAACGTTATTATCAAATTCATTGAGTTAAATTACTAATGAGAGAAATGGAAACGTTCACGTGTGAGGTCCAAATTAGGAAATCTCAAATATCCTATCAGAGGAAAATATTGTAGTAACGAGACTGCGAATGTTCTGTTAACTGTAAAATAGGAATTGGTAATGATAACTTTATTTTATTTTATAGATATACATGTAATAGTATATTAAACACTACCAGATAAAAAATTACATGTATTTATTTCCGTTTACTGTCTACACCCGTGTCTTAGACCGACCGCTTTGATTTTTTTCTTTCAAAACTGTCGCTTATAATTTATTAGCTGTTTTCTCGAGACTTCTCCCACATAAATAAGGTAGTTTCCAAGCCTATTATATGTAAACGGACAATCAAATATTTCATCTTTATAATATCAATATAGATACGCTCACCTTTAACGATTCTCCGTGTACGAAGACTTGTTCAACATATTGACTTCTTATGTAAATATTTTCAATTTTCTCAGGAACTATATATTCGCCTTGTGACAATTTGAAGATGTGTTTTCTTCTATCGATGATCTTCAGTGTGCCGTTCTGTAACAATTATAAAAATAAAATATCATAAGTATCTTCATTATAATGGAAATAAACAATTCTCAACAGTATAGTGCCAACTTTTATATAGCATGGCCTCGCGTTTTAATAGCCTCGAAGACATTGTGCCCACAGAATGGCAGCCATAATAAAGATTATATTGAAGTATAAATAAAACATACCATGGTCATTGTCGTGCGTGAATAGACACGGGAAAAAAAACTTGAAGAAAAACTTCAAGGAGGAAATATGCAACTAAATGACGCAACGTATAAGGGAACTTATAAGTTGTGGTAATGAAGTATGTATTAGGTCCTAGATCAATCATCGCACGAGTGTCAACATAAGGACAACATCTAGCTAAGTTGTTACAAAAATTTAAATGACAAATGTATTTTTATTCATCACCAGCCCTTTTTACGTCCCCACTGCAGGGGCTCAGGCCTTCCTTATGAATGGTTAAGGAGGATGGGCCATGACCCTCCACGCTGGCCCAATGCGGATTGGAGGGTATTAACGACTGAAAATGCAGCCGGGACCAACGGCTTAACGTGCCTTCCGAGGCACGGAGTAGCTCGAGATAATAATTTTTTGGTCACCCATCCCGTGACCGACCCTTGCGAAAGTTGCTTAACGACAACGATCGCGGGCCGCGGCGCTTATCCACTACGCCACCGAGCTACTCACGCCACCGAGCTACTCTTAATTTTTATTAACATAATTAAATAGCAATTTAATGATAGACAGGATAGTAAATTTGATTATTATGTTAATATACTTCATAAAAAGTAATATTGTTTCAATATCAGTCCCACTTTCATTCAAAAAGTCGTCTCGGACAAAAAAAACATCACATTTACATATTAGGTATATGGCAATCTCTTGAAAGTAAAAAGTTGCTTAGCAGTCAAATTTTTTTTATAAATAATTTAGGTTTTTTTTAGATAGCAATAATGATAAAAAAACTAAAGGAAAAAGATGCCTTAAAAAAATAACATTCTGTCTGTACACGAGTCAGAATCGATAATAATAACTGTAAGATTTGGAGTGTTTTTTTCTGGTCAAAATTTCTTTGATTTTGTGTGTTTTTATGAAGTTCAGATATCCCTATTCTTAAGTCCCTTAAATAAATACGAGCATTCGAATAATATTTCTTGGATCAAGGTTCATGTATAATTTTACTCTTTGGATCAAGGTAAGTATTTATTTTTTCTTGAGAATATTTTAAATCCTTGGATATATATAATTTAGCATTGACTATAATCCGTAACAGGTGTTCCTATTTCTTAACTGTCAACACTGATTGGCCGCCAACAACTAAATTAGAATGGGCAGCAGTCCCTAATAAATAATTCCAAAACATTCATTAATTATTCTAATATAATCTTGAAACAAACAAATTAAACCTCTTTTTAATTTGAACAAATTATAGTATTTTGGAAACAAAAACGAAATTATTGAGCACAATATAACGCGTCATTACAAATATCACGTTATTATAAAATATTTTAATATAAACAAATAATAAAAAACATCTTATTACGACATACAAAATTCGGTAACTTCTAGTTTCGTTGCGTATTTATAATACTACGGAAACAAATTTACTATATTAGTCTAATGTGGTCAGGACACTGCTGCTTCCATTATTATTATATTCAACAAATCAAAATCTTAGGAAACATCGTATCTCATATTGGCCAGCGAAAAAATATTTCAAGTGCACAGTTCTCTTAGTTATTAGAGTCCTATGAAATCATTTATCTTTTGTAAACAAGCGGGATTGATACTAGAACTTTTGAATTACCGTATCTAAGAATGCAAACTCAGCTCTTTTCTCAACCTCTTTTTTGTTAGTAGTTTCATACAGCGTCAATAGCCCTTTGTGCGGTCTCAATTTTTATACATATCCAACATTGAGTAACCATCAGTATCCCCTGAATAATGCCAATCCCCTATAGCTTCGCAAGTCATGTCCAGTTCCTTGACACTTCTAAGAAGAAGATCTGTAGCTACTAAGTGATATAGAGTGTAACTAACCGGTAGCCACTTGCCAACATCTCCTGTATGATGCCAGCCGTCCTGGTCTATAACCTCGCGGGTCTTATCTGGTTCTTTGAAGTATCCCTTGAATACATTGGCGCCTTGTACGCACACTTCTCCTTGCCCCTGCGCCGCGTAATACTCCATCTCGGGCACGTCCACTAACTGAAAACCAACAAGTTATCATTGACTGACTTATTCTTTAGGTTTTTTTTTTTTGGGTTAGGGGGTAGACGAGCAGACGGATCACCTGATGGTAAGTGATTACCGTCGCCCATGGACACCTGCAACACCAGAGGGGCTACAAGCGCGCTGCCGGCTTTAGAGGAAAGGGAATAGGGAGGTTTTGGGCCTCCGGTACCCTCACTCACACGACGAAACACATGCAAGCGTTGCTTCACGTCGGTTTTCTGTGAGGCCGTGGTATCACTCCGGTCGAGCCGGCTCATTCATGCCGAAGCGTGGCTCTCCCACGGAATTCTCAACGTATATTATCATATAATTATGAAGTATGTGCAATGCAATATATTTTCAAGACAATATAAATTTGTCAAATTCATATTCTTAATTATATAATTAAGAATATGAATTTGACATATGATGAACATAAGGAGAACATGTCATACATATCAATGGATGAACATAAGGAGAACATGTCATACCACCTGTCGTCGTGAATAAAGCCGCAATAGCCGGTTATAAACTTTTGGCCCCTTATTCGGATAATCGACGTTTCCTTTTTCCGACACACGACGAGTATTGTAAGAACTTCGAAAGATTTGATATTGGTCATAGGGCTGAGAATTGTAATAGCATCACATCAAATCGTTACCCAAATTTGTTTTATTATAAGGTAAACAAATCATCGTTTGATATTAAACTGCTCTTGGCGACCGACCAAGTTGTAATAGGTCCTAACCTTAAGACAAAAGTGAGATTATATCGACAATAATAACTTACTTTCACTTTACAACAAGCGACGGGAGGCCCGACATGTTCAGGTACGTGATCACCCTGAACGGTCAGAGTCACCGGCGCAGTGCATTCCGTCTGTCCGTAGCCTTCCACGATCTGGAACCAATATAAAACTCATCATTTCGTCATCATCAATTAATATCCCTTAGCTGTTAGGTAGCGGGTCCTCCCTATCATTATCGCAAGCTTATTCGAGTCGTTACTATTGGGGCACATGCCTCCAATATGGAGGGAATCGAAGTGAATGAGGAAAACGGCCATAACCCATCAAGCAAAGATGACAAATGCAGTCTTGACTAACAGCTTAATATGCTTTGCGAAGCACGGGAATGTTCAAGATATTTATGTTTTTGTCTGCCATCCTATGACTGACACTTGCGAAAACCACTTAATGTTAATGAATACAGATCGAAATAGTAAATTTTCGTCCACCAATCTATACGAAAGTTACTTACTCTCCTCATTTGCAAGCTGTGAATACGCTAACCATTGCTGTATCGAGCTCTACTCAAACTCATCAATATAAGTTTTTGCTCGTCTCGTCCTAATAGGAGATAGGCAAATACGGCTCGTGAGAAAAATGTCACTTACTTTATAGGTATAGAAACAAATGTTAATGTAATTCATTTAAAATTGTTATACATTTCAAGGGAAAGAGACTCGTTATAATAATATCCGAAAATGATATTTCGATCTGAAAATACAAATATTTCTAGTCTTAACTCACAAACAAGCCCATAAATTATAAAGACGTCATAATAATAATATGGAATATTTGAATTATAGTTGTTCAGGAAATTGTGGAAGTACCTACGCATTTGGCCTTCTACTGCGGGGCTACCGTAAGATATTATTGGAATTATCCGAAATATGGATGTTTGTTGTTTATCTGGAGTTGAGAGCTTTTGTGAATATTATTGGTCAGTGTCGGTAAGACTTCGCTTTTATTATCAAACCTATAAAGTCTTATATTCATACATCCTCCATTAACGGTGGTGGTATTTTGATGTAATATTTATATTTAAGGAAGATTAGGTATGCCCTCCAGTTTATGATGCACATTACTCTCTTGGGGATTGGCAAAATACAGACGCCGAATTTATTTTCGCTGTCATCCATCTCTCGGACTCTGGTTAAATATGATATTATTTTATAACTATTTGCAAGTTCCAGGCCTTGTTCCAGGTTATAATTGTTTACAAGTACCAGGAGTACGCTTTTGCACATGCTAAAGCAAGACTTGATTCTCACAAAATGTATGGACCGGTGCCCCTCAATGGAGAGACATTTGATAGGGGACCATAATAATTAACGAGGTAGTTGAAAGTTCGAAAATGATAGTCCGTTACTTTTGAAATTTAATGTTGTGCTAATGATTGTTATAAATTGGTAAAAATTAAGGGGGTTACTCATGTGACCAAAGTAGTGACTTCTATTCCGTCATTGGACGGAAAAAAAGTTTGATTGACCGACACTGACCAATAATAATAGTATTGATAAGGCAACCTTGTAGTTTTGAATATTAATAACTCTATTCAGGCCGTTTAGCACGCAATTAGAAAAACCACGACTTTCACGACACATACATACCTAATTCATAGTATAACTATTAGCTTTGCTCACGAACCAAAACTTTATATTTCCCTTGCTTTGTCGTGTCATTTAAGTACAAAACTTGAAATTGCCTCTATTTTATTACATTTGACTGCGCAACGCAAAGAAGGGTAATGTGTTTATGAGTCTATGTATGTATGTATGTTTGTTCCTATATGACACGATAGCTTGGCCGATTTTGATGATTTATACATCAATCGATTTGTCTTAACCTCGCGAGTGTCATTAAATACATTATAGTTATCAGAATTCTTCTTTTAGGGTATTTTTTATTTTTACGATTTCTCTATAGTGTGGGATATTGTTGAATAGGTCTTTCAAAAATATTAGAAGTGTGCGAAGACCGTTTTCAGATATAGTGAGCCGTTCGCAAATTATTAAGCTTTTAATTGCCAAGAATGACTTTGGATCGAGCTGTTAGTTGACTTAAGTTCGCGAATTTTTGCTAAAGGTCAAGCATTTGTATGTAGCTTTGAGCCGAGTGAGGTCTCTAAGGGATTAAAATCAGCAATTTAGACCACCGCAAATCGCTTAATAATCCTCACGATATAAACTCGCTCAATGAAATGACAAGGTTGCGTAATTTACCGTCTAACTAAAGTATAAATGAAAATTTAATTATAAAAAACAAAAAACCCGACTGCGTGAAAACAAAAGAGAGAAGTGAAAAAATATATTTTTACTTTCACTAAAAACTAAAAAGAAAAAAAAAACAAGCCCAGTAGTTTGGAATGTTATTAAATACTATTGAATAACTGCTCTATTGAAATAGTTTTAAAATCTATACACACATAAAACATGTTATAAATTAAAAAAAGAAAATATAATTTTTTTTTTTCACTTTTTCTTCTGTTTTCACGCAGTCGGGTTTTTTGATTTTATAATTATTATTTTTGGTAAAATATGTAAGTTTCTCGTTTATAAACCCATATTATTTAGATACGCTCGTCCACGATCGAAACGATAAAAATAGATACAACATTTTTATGTAAAAATGCAACATTGTCTCCATATTTGAAGTCAATAGACTAGTTTTAAAGTTATGCTTAAAGAACAATACCGAACCTGATACTTTTAATACATTAAAATGTAAACTGTACCTCGCAATCCTCGCAATATTATCTTATCAGCAAAATCAGATTTTAAAGGCCTTAGCGTGATGTTAATTTGCCGCTTAGCATTATTTTCAACGACTGTTTAAGAGTTCCAGAGATTATCGCATCATACAAAGTAACTCGTCGGCTTTATTATATAAATAATCAAAAGGATTTTCACGGCTAAAGAAACATGTGCTAAAGATCATTAATGTTGCCCAATATACCTTAAGGTGAAGCTTTAAGATTCTCTCAGTATTTGTGTATATTATGTCTAATGAAACCGTATTATTATATTAGTTTATTTTAATAGGGTTGCAAAGTTCCAAAGTGACATAAGTTTATTGGGAAAAATTTGTTGCAGATGGCCCCTCCATCACCTGATTCATTCTATACAATTAATAATATGTCATAATGCCGCAGTTGATTTCCACCTCTACCTTCTATATCTTAAGTCTGAAAATAAAATTGAAAGATAGAACCTAATGAGCTGTTGTGATTCTCACCAAACATCCGAGAGCGCAGCGTGCAAAGGTAAGAACGTTGCCGGCCAGCGGCGCGGAACCCACAACTACGATACGTAGCCGCCCACCCATCCCTTCGCGAACTTTGCGGAACACTAGCTTGTCCCATATAGAGTCCCCGCGGATGATGCCTCTGTTACAGAAAAAAAAAAACTATCTTAGAATAATACTAATAAACTCTCAGATCTTGCTCAATTTTCGAATCAAGCCTGCCGCAGCATTAGAGCTTCAATCAATTAAAACTCTTATTACTTTTTGAAGTAGTGTTAATTTGATTGAACTTTTAATGTTGTGACAGCGCTGTGTTCGAAGCTGCCTCAGATGCTTAATTTTGTTAGAATAGGATTGCTGATCTCTTACAACAGAAGTTTTTCGCAAAAGCTCTATAAAGATAGTATTGTAGATGCAACATTTTTGCTCCTATAAGAAAACTTACTAGCAGTTTGAAAAGCGAAAATATGTTTCTCATACTGCCCTGAAAACCAATTTTAATCATGTCCTACATAGTATTGTTTATTTGATTAAAACTTAATCGCTATTATGTAAGTCCATAACTATTACATCTGATAAATTACTGCCGTAGAGCTCTGTTTTACTTGTTATAACTCTTATCGCGAGGCAGACATGAAATCGATTCATTATTGTTTTATTCTGAATAACTAAATTTACAAATCTTAATAGACTTCTACTTTATTCTGTTTTCGCAAATTGTACGTTACATGAGTGTTTTCCTTTTTTTTTGTTTGTTTTGTGTGTACAATAAAGAATATTCTATCTATCTAAATTCATCTCCACCTTTTCAATCTTACGCAACTAACCTTTTCAATTCAGACTCTTTAGCCGACAAAGCCATGTTGAATAACAACTTCTTTATTTTCGAGTTGGATATTTCCGACTGCGCTTTATCATATAGCCTGTTCAACAGCCTAGGGACTGCAGGCATCATTGTTGGTTTGAGTGCGCTTAAGTCATCAGCTAAACGTCGAATATCACCACTATAAAAGCCGACTGCTCCTCCCATCATATAGAGAGCGTTCTGGAAATTAACAAATCAAATAATACTTACGATGTCATTACTCGATCTAAAAATGACACTCTCCGCTCTCACTCTCCGCCTCTATCATTCTTTATGTTTATGCATCTTTTATTTCTTCCACGATTGTTATTAAGATTTATCTAACAAAAATCTATTTATCTAATATAAAAATGTGTCAATTTTCAATTTCTGTTCTAGAAATTCTATACGAGCACGAACAGCGAAACGCCTGTGTAACAATTTTTAGCATTTTCTTGGAGTCTAGGATGAAAAATCAAGATATAATCAAAATTAGACATAGTCGTACAGATATCTCACCACGTGAGTAAGATGTAAAGAAATAAAAATTGTAAAGGCAAATATTAGAACACAGAACACAGGAGATTATAACGGCCATCATTTTTAGGAGAACCAGTCAGATCCTCCATACCTGTGATCACCACAGAACAGATACGAGCTAAGTACGCATATATATTCAATTTCAATTAAGCAAATCTACTACAAATCACAATGGCAACACACACAAATATACATATGCGGAGTGTAAAAATCCGAATAAACAGAAACATTTGTTCATATCCTTGTGGCATTTCAAATCCACTAAGCCTTTCTAAAGTATTTCTTTGTTCTGTGAGGGAAAAACACAAAAACCATTATTATTATAGTTGGAATACCTCACAGCACCGCTCCAGCATATGAGCCAATGGTAGGAAGGATATCATGACGTCAGTTTTAGCCGGCCTATGTTCGCCCAGCTGCATTATCACGCTGCACATCGATGCCACCACGTTCTCGTGCGTCAACATCACGCCTTTAGGCATACCGGTTGTGCCAGACGTATAGCAGATTGTGCATAGACTGTCTGGTTTTGGTGGCTAGAAAATAAAAAGAAAATCTAAATAGAACTCTATTGCGAGAGTTGACATAGTTTATTACGTTTAAGATTTAAATATGATCATAAAGACGATGATAAAATAAGACGTAATTAACAGACCAGACAACTAAATAAACAAATGATGGCGCACGAATCGCTTCAAAACTTATTATCATTGTATAATTTCTAATAAACCGTCAATCCAAAGTACTTAGGCATCTTAGTAATTTTTTCTTCAAGAACTTTTTGGTAAAATAATAAAACTATCATTTGATGTGTGTTTTCACCATAGATTAACTTAAATTAAATTATATCTCTTTGACCACAATCACTCTCAAATTATTGATTTTGGTTAAGCTTCCTCACTTAAACAACACTGCAATTTTACTAAAGGATGCTGAACCAATGTTGAAATCGATCGAAGATATCGTTCGTATAGCCTACAATTAGAATAGCTTATAATGAGCGTAGTTGATTATTAATCTATACCTATACAACCACTGTTCCCCCTAAGGCATCCCGTTTTAAACCTCCCGCTATTCACCATCGCCTGTTTCGAAACGTACATTTGTTGTGTTTTATTTATGCCCTTTAGATACGAACCGACGGACGGATCGTTTCGCAGAATTGTTTGCCCTTCGGGTACTTTTTCCTTGTGAGCAAAAACTAGCCAGACGGTATAGAAACACGGGACAAGTTTCCTGTTCAATTGTATTTTAAAACTTCAAATGAATAATCTAAGATCCTACTGAACTTTAAAGTACCTTTGGGTACTAATAATTCATAAATCATTACGAGACTTAAGACTGCTGATTAATCAAATTCAAAATGAAATTTACTGTCAATTCTGAATTTATAGTTGTATTTAATAATTATCTCAATAGTAGTATATACTACAATTAAATTAGGCTCATCAAATTTATTAATGCAAAAACCCTCCAATGCGTATGCATATGCATTTGATTGTCATTTCTCGGTTTAGGGAACATGTCTGGAAGATTATCAACATAATTATACTTACAACACATGGGTGGTCCTTTTGTGCCCCTTGTATTTCAACATCGCTGAATTTTACTACTTCAACACCACGACTCTTCGCCCGCTGGTGCGTTGAAGGTGACACTTCTTTAATAGTTATCAATTTTCTTAAGCAACGAGGGGATTGGTCTAATAAAAGATTAGCCTTCTTATCGTCTTCGCATATGACCACTGCCATTTCAGCTGCAAGAGAAATATCGCTCTTTTATAACACGTGAAAAATAGTCCTATAAATATATTAAGCTTTAAATAAAACTAGTTTAATCCTTTACGGAAACACGGAAACTGTAAAGGATCCGAAGCGTTATAAAATCAGATATAAATGCGCTACACCCGTTTAAAATAGTTTTAGTTAATTAATAGTGCGCGTGAAAACATAAGAAGTCAATATTGAGCTTTAAGTTTTAATATTTTGTCATCAAAGTTAAACGTCGTTCTAATTCAACAAAACTATTAGCGCTTACTTACTTTGATTAATTAGCATTTTCTCATTGTAGAGTATTAAGTAATTATTTTATTTTTGCCCTTAAATGAGGTATTAAAACAAAGCAAATAAGTATATTTAGTATTTCACTTAATTTATTCAAACTTTGCATTTTCAACATACGAATTAAATGCTGTAAATACATTATTACTGATCTTATTCAGGGTAACATCGCACAATATCATTAATCAAGAAGATAACATTTTCCTTATAAGGCTGCTCAATCAACTTCACTTAAATATACTAACAAAATTTACAATCCAACATCTATTTAATGTTAAGTAGTATATCTTAAAATTTGCATACTTTGGTTCACAATGAAGGCACATGCATTAGCTCCCAATGTATCGTACAAGGGTACAATGACCATTGAATAACAGTATGCAGCTTGTTCAGTCATGACCCACTCAGGACAATTTTGTGAATATATACCTGAAAAATAAAACAATTGTTATAAATAGACAAATTGTTCAATGTATTTCAAAAATGAAGTTGGCGACAAAGTTCGACTCTTTGTATAAAAATACTTACCCACAAATGTGTTTTGACCTGGCGCTAATCCTTGGCAGATAAGGCCGGAACCAAAGTTCTTCGCTCTAAGTAATGTCTCATTATACGTTTGCCACACATAGGGCTTATTTGGTCCCTCACGCCAACCCAAGCAATTTCCATTATCTGAAAGTTATTAATACTCTTTATAATCATGTCTTAATATCTCTAGCGTAATGTCGTAAATAGCCTGTCTCGGCTAAAGCTAGTTTACTTGAACGGTGGAATATTCCACAGGATATAGTGTTGTATAATTTCCAGTCTACCTTATTTTTATTGGTGTGTCGAGTTGAGTATGAGCGCAAATAAAAAACGACACAACTGTCGCGATTACACTACTGGCACAAATTACTTTTAACTGTACCTACCCCGTAAAGTTGAAGTAAATGATGTTAACAATATTTTATAATGACTGATATTATATCGGCAACAAAAGGAAACGGAGGGAAATGACACAGGTCCCAGAGTTGTGCCTTGGAGCACTCCCCACTTTGTAATTGTGTGTGAATAATACTACAGGCAACGTAATGCCAACGAAGGTGTAGCATAACTGACGAGGCATGCACGAAGACAACAATAATAATACAGTAACATTTTTATGTAGCTAGAATAATATTCTTACTTGATTCTTTCACTCCACGACGAAATGTTTCATATAGAGTGCGTGTGTCTTCGTGGAGAAAACGTAGATAACGGCCATTTTTCGCTTCTTTGTAGAATTTTGATACTCGTACCATTTCAGGACCCTGAAAATAAAAAAAAAATTAGATTGTAATTTATCAAAGCACACAGATCTTGTTATAGTATCATTAATAGGACATTGCACTGAATCCTTGCAACGTACAAGAACATGATGAGAAGTAATCCCATTAACTTTGCTTGCTGTATTAGTATTAATTACATTGACCTTTTTAATCTGTTCGTATCTAAGTACATTTTAAAGTTTTCACTGTCAATATTACTACGGAACTTAAGATAACACCTTTAAAACTGTATGCAAATAACTCTACGTTAACCTAATGACATATTTGGCCCACTAGCTTAAAAACTCGTCTTAAAGTCGGAGTACTCTCGAACATTACGGTATATTATTACACTTTACACAATGATAAATGGAACGATGAACGGGTCAAAGTCACTTACATGAGAGAGACGAAAATATTTCGGCTACGAATTAACGCATTCGATATTGTTATATCATTATATCAATAGACAGAGTAAACATGTATAAGGTATAAGATTTTAGGTAATTAACGTTACATGTAAATATATGATATCATTTATTTGACATTAATATGTAGACAATTTCTTTATCTTAAATAACTCGAAACTGAAATCTTTAAAGTACTTAGTAGTCCATTAAAATTTATAGCCGTCATTAATCATCTGTATCATAAGTATTGTACGAATATAATCATAAAGATCATATCGAAAGTTAATAACAACATAAACAGGCTCATGTTCAATAAAAACAGCTTATTTCATATCATATTAAATGTTACTGGCTAATATCCAAATATCAACCTCATTGCTTGTACGTATTTATTATTATAAAATCTCTTTAGTTCTACTCTAGATAGTGTTGATAAAAAAATACTGTTACGTAAGGTGACAAAGACATATTATCACGTGTTGACACTTTCCAAACAGATCTTTTATTTATGTTTTGACTGAAAGACTAAAATGTCATTGTTTTTCTTACTAATGGCATGTCTTTAAATATAAAACGTGTGAAGAATCGCGGAACTTGATCTTGAATATTGTGAACAAGGCTGAAAGGAAATTGGTCACACGACGGACGCCGAGTGAAAAATGTGGCGATTCACCGGGTATTTTTATCGGAACTGTGTGACACAAGTAGATTTTGTCACGCTATTTCTGTTCGCAAGCGTACGCCTACTGCTAATATAAGAAACGGTTTGTATTTTCTATAACACTAATTTAATTATTTCATTCAGAAAAAAACTTTTCCTGACTTTCTCCGATAATGTGTGATAAGTTACATGCGTTTTGTATTTTTTAAAATTTTGTACAATTTGATAATTTAGTAATAAGTATACTTATTGTGACTTGTTGCTGTTGTAAATTTTACTAAATTTTCTAGTTAAACATTGTAGACATACGATTGTAAGAAACGCGAAAAAAAAAGTTATGTCGATGACATGATGTTTGTTGGCAAGTAAAAATCATGTGTCTCCGAAATAGTTGACATAGTATCTAAGCCTTGGCTAGCCATCTGTGATTTCCGTCTTTTCCGTTTTACGAAAACCATATGGTTGTCATTAATAATTATTACTAAATAAACAGCTGATGACTATAACAGCTCAACGCAAAATAAACACATTGAAGATCATTGGAAGACTTTACAAAAACAGTATTTATATATTATAGGCAACAACAATTATTCCTATATGAATTATCACAATAAAATTCAATATAAAGAACCTGTGAGTTTCATCATCATTATTATCAGCCCTTTTACCTCCCCAGTGCATGGGGCTCAGACCTCCTTCATGCTTCGATAGCGAATGTGGAATTATGTATCTTTTAAAGTCATTTGCTTTTGGAACGAATGGATTCGAATGATCAATAGACATAATTAAAACTTAGTCAACATTGAACCATTTCGTTTGATATTTCTCAACAGCTTTAAGCATCTGCTTAAACAATTCCAATTAGTAATATCGTTAATCCAATACATTAAAAAATGTCGCGATTGCAAATTAGAGAAAAAATTGTGAAGAGAATTTTGTTTAATGAAAACAACAAATACAACTAAGTAAGATTTTAAAATGAAGATGAAATGTAAAATGAAGAAGATTCTAAAACAGTTGTAAAATGAAAATAATAATTTATAAACATTATCATTTCGAGTCAATAACCTCCAAAACGATTAGATAATATAATGGGTAAATTAGAGAAAAAATTGTGAAGAGAATTTTGTTTAATGAAAACAACAAATACAACTAAGTAAGATTTCAACAAACAGTTGTAAAATGAAAATAATAATTTAAAACATTATCATTTCGAGTCAATAACCTCCAAAACGATTAGATAATATACTGGGTAAATTATGATTATTGTATAATTAAATAGGTTTTAGACATAAAAAAGATAAAGGATGTGCTCATAAATCGATCTGTCAACTATTTTTGACCTTTTTATTTTTTTTCTATTTCTATCCTTGTATAAGGAAAATGTTATCTATCTCGAGATTATTTATCTTAAATATTAATATTCAAAGAACTTTATTTAATTAAAACAAAAAACAAAATCGAAATTGGTAAAAAACCTTAAGTTACACTAACGGTTTAGCAACTCCATTTATGTATTTCTAAGACATTGACATACATCAATCGTCACGATTTATTAACTATTGCGGTATTGGCAAACGATCAACAGTTGTCACGGGATTCTAACGCCTTATCGCTCATTCACCAGTAGTAAAAACGTATCTGTATCACGAATTGCAGGAGTCGTATAACATTTATGGTGCTCGCATATTTATCAGAGCCGAAGGAAATGGATGAAACGCATTTTCTTTCTAATAACTAGTAAGTAATCTAATATGATATTGCTCTTTTGACTTACGGAACAATTTTTTCAGAAAGTAATATTTATTTTTAGGTATCCATTAAAATGTGTCTTACTTAATTCCAGGTAATACGGTATCAATTAATCCCTAAAACACATATTTTTCTGATAACTTAACCTTTCTACGAGTACTAAACGTTCAGAAGTTTTCCGATTTTCTACGCGATTATGATCGTTTTATAATTTATTGAACAAATTATATTACTTGGGCTAAAAATCACGTGCTTATAATTTTTTAAGACAATAGAGACTAGAAATATAACATTATTTTAGTTATAGTTTCATTCACACAGAAGGAAACATGATCATCGGATGGGTACCGGATGTATGGCAGTAAACTCAGCTTACCGAGCCTCCGGGCCTATCCCTAAGCGCGACAGTATACCGGAAGATTTTTAGTGGGTAGACCTTCGAGGTCCCATCGGGCATCGGACGTATCCGTCGGATGGACACTCCAGGAGAGCACAACACATCAACACAACCCTAGTAAGGGCGTAACACATTTCGTTTTTTTAAAGAATACTGGAATTATTTTAAATACCGTTGTCATCAAATCGAGTCAAAAAAGATACACAATTCTTGATTACAAATGCGTTTAACAAATTCAGTAAACGTTGAATGAGCTTTTTGTAATCTCCTTTAGTTCTTTTCTATAAACATTCTTGTCTAAGTGTTTCGCATACAATACATTTATCAAAGGCTATTATACAAGGACGAGCTATATTTAAGTAAACTATCAATTTTATTTTCCCAGACTGTTTAAATTACAGGTTATAAGTAGATTAATTATGAATGAATCCAGTAATACTTTATCTATTAAATAAAAAAGTGGCAGGAAAGAATGTATTAAATAATAAAATAAAAGTATGCCCCTATATAAAAAAAATTTTTTAATAACTTTATGGCACAGGTCTGAACCTAATACTAATTAAAAAGCGACGTGTAGCGTGAACATATAAATATAGATTTTATGACTCCTAATTATTATTACAATTCTGTTAGGTAATGATTTTCAGTATTCAGCGCCTTTGATAATTCCTGATAGATTTGTGTCGACGTTTAGTCGAATGAAATATTATCATGATTTTTTTCTTAGCTTAATAATAATATAGTTAACGTTGTTACGATTATAAAATATAATGTTTTGTATTTACGATATTTTTGCATTGTGATCATCCAAATAAAATTATTTCTTTCAGCAGATGGGTAGATTGCCTGAACATTTATGAAAAAATTAGGATAGAGCAGACGCCCTGATTGCGAAAGGTCCCATTTCTTGGTTTCGAGTCCCGTCTCAGAGTTCACGGAAAAAGCGGCGTTTAAGAATTTTTCATTACGAATATTTTTCAGTATAGCATTGATGAAATATAATGAGATTAATTGTTGTTTTAATACCTAAATTATGTTATCTAACAGAAAGCATAATGTTGTGTTGAAAAGGCTTGCTTCACATAGTAATTCCTAATACTATTATTACTATTTTGAATACTCTCTCTCTCTCTCTCTATTATAAATTTTGACATTATTTCGAATAATTTGATATTGCATGTGCGAGGAATGATATTCTTATTTATTTTAAGTTTATCTGACATTAAGAAATTTGAATTAGGTTGTTTGATTTAGGCCTTAAAAAATTTGTAACGATTCATTGTAAAAATTTACAATGAATCGTTGACTAAATGAACCTGTATTATTATATAGTGAAAATCGAATAACGGATTCCATTTTTATTTTCTGTATGTAATATGATTGTCTGTCACCTTGGGAAGTGTTTTTCGATTCATGTTAAAAATGTTCTTGTATTTTTTAAACAATAGTAGTAAAGCGAGTATATTAGGTGACATATTAAAATTGAAAATTTTGGTTATACAACATCATCATATAGTTGTAAGCTGCTTCACATATTTAAGCAATATAATACAAATCCTGGAGCATAAGCTTTCGCGAGCAGAACCGTTCACATGTTACTATTTCTAATCAGTTCTCATCTTTGATTGTGGGCCCAAATATACCGAATCTAAATGTTACGGATCTTTGCCAAGTATTGAGGCGTGAGTCGCGAGAAACATTGTTCCAACGACAAAACTATCATTGACATCGTAACAATAAACCTGATTAATAAATTCGAAACCATTAGAAAAAGTAGTTGATAACTGCTTTAAGTAAATCAGCTCGATTTTCAAAGCCCATTGCCGTATGAAGACTTGTCGATTCAAACCAATCTATAATATTAATAAAAACTGTATTTTTAATTTTGTCCAATTAATTAAATTCATCTCATAAAACCATCATAAAACAATTAACTTGACCTTGATAAAAAACACAATATTATCAAATGCATCATTCACTGACGCAGTCGGCAATAAACCACTTACTTTAAGAGCCTCCGACTGGTCATGCAGACTTATCGGAGGTCGAATCGGTGAGACCCCAATACAGCAATCACAACACGCCATTTTTACTACTAGAACTTTTCAATCACACCACAAACCACAATTTGCTTCAAATTAAATTATATTACACATTGCGCAACCATCTTTTCGTTTTGAGTCTGATTGTTCATCTGTTATTTCACTTTTGTCACTTTCCACTTTTTCAGGTCCTCTCAATTATTGGCTGGGGACACGCTTGGCACGGTTCAGTCTCTCGTCACTTTCGCTGGTAGTGACTTCAAACTTCTGACAGCAGAGTATCGCCCTGGGCTGCCCGTGGTACAATGAGTTAAAAATATCGCTCGAAGATGCGCTTTGCCAACTACTCTACGATGGCAGCAATATGAATTAGGGCAACTTGAACTTTGAATACAGCGATTTAAAGGGGTCTAATTTAATATCAAAACATCTTTTTATATTTCAGCAAACGTAGGTGTTGTAGATAAAGCTAAATCCCTATATTATTATACATGGTACTTGAATATGTATTATCAAGACAAAAACATTATGTAACAGAACTGTAAATAGTTTCACACGTAACGTTGTCTATGTATAATTGCACAATTAGATTGGCGACATCAGTCAAACTTACTTTTTAACGTTGTGACGTTGTAAACTTTAAGAACTACTGATTTTTCTCTAGATGGTTTTTATTTAAGCCTCTAACCTCAATACACAAATACTCGTCTAAGGGTCCATCGTGACTGTCGACATCAATAGGGCGAGTACACACAAAATCACAAACTTACAACTGGATTTATCGATAGAGATGTCCATATAAGCTGTAATTGAACATGAGAAAGTACAGTACAGTTTTTAAGGTTCATAACAAAAACATGATTTTAGATTTTTTCTCAGTAGATAAAAATCACAATGATAATCCAGAGTACTAGGGACGAAGTGGATTTTTGAAGAATTTATCATTAAGAATATGTTACAATAATACAATATTTTTATCGGGCAGTGATCTCACATGGACATTAATTCCTCGATAAGATGTTATCTGCCATTAACTTGTATTCATGGATAAAATAGCTGTTTATTTATATCTGTTATCAAAAATTGGAAAAGTCGCCATTTTAATTGTAAGGTACACATGTTTACCACATACTGTTGACATGTGACGCTATTGAGATGGCATTATTTTGTTAAAATTAACAGAATTGAAAAACTGACAAACGATTTATGGGCATCAATGACATAGACAAGGTATACACATTACTCCACCTATTTGTGACTATAGCTATTTTTAAAGCATTCACTCGGCAAATATTACGTTTATTATTAAAGTTAAATCGATAGTAAAATGTCTTAAATATTTATCAATTTTGCCTATAAAAAGATAATAATTGCAACAATAAATGAAAAAATAGGGGCCAATTTTTTTATTTTTCCCTGAGTTTGTTCACGTTTTGACCATAACAAAAGCCTTATAAATTCAACAAGTATAAATGCTGGAAATTACAGACATCGCCAAAACAGTTTGTATTTAAACATAGATTTCTTACATTATTATTTTGTATTAAAATACATACTTATTTTCATATCTTTTCGTTACGTGTATCAAAATAACTTTTCAAATCTGATCCGCTTACGAGGACAAAGAACTTTTGCACAATACTCATTTTTGCTACTATCACTAATATTTAGTGGGGTCGTTGGACTGCGCAAACCTGAACAATTACAAACCTATTTAGTTTCGACAGTTAAATGAATACTATAAAACAAGCCATAAACGCAAGATTTACAACATAAACATTCTTTTAACCACCCAATAGGATGCCATAACTGTGCCATGTGAAAATATTATGTTATTTTTATTTTAATTCTATCAACATAGCAACCATATCTTAAAAGGCTCTATAGTAGAGTGGTCAAAGACCCCTTGGCCGCTTGAAACAGTTCTTCGGTGTTTGAACTTTAGAAATTAAGTGATACACTTGGAATTTTTTATGCTTTCGAAGCAACGTGAAAATATTGTTGCGTTTCTCTTTTTCTACGAATGCATAAAAAATCATTAGTGTAAATTCTCACCTCTAAATCTAATATTAATAAAGATTTTAAAATTTGTTAATTAATCAACGGATTATTTTACATACCTATAGCGTTTTCGCCCATCAATGATCCATTAATGAAAAATATATGAGGATGTCATCCGGTAGTGTTGAATTGACGATATTCAGACTTAAAAATGCAAGAAACACGAACAAACATACATTCCGAATTAAACATATGCTTGTGATATGTTTATGAGGAGTCAAAGGCGTACTGGTGGTCGGTCTGCAATGCGTACTTTTGCCGTTCATAGAATAGGTGACCAAAACTTATTATCTCGTGCTCCTTCGTGCTTCGGTAGACATGTTAAGATATTGATCCTGGCTGCATCTGCAGTTGTTAACAGTACGTGGTGGTGGTGGTCATTACCCATTCTTCTTAATCAATTTGATTCCTTCCATAACTAACGCTTTTACCTCAGCAGTGGGGATGTGATAAGCTGATGGTTATGATTATCTTATATTTACTTACTGATTCAAGGAGGCTTTGCTCGTGTAACGTAACAAGAGGCTTCTCTGGTTTCGGCCTGGTGCTCAGGTAGAAAGCTGACGCAGCCGCTACTCCTGTTAGCGCCAAAGCGCCTGCCGACCCGCCCACCATCCATAGATACTGGTCTATTTCACTCACTGTGAACAAACATAGTAAGATACTTAGTAATAAGTAAAAGCATCGCTCGTGAGAACTCCTTCTACTTCCATATACATAGGACGAACGATTTCTCCTATTCCACATATTCCTACTGACAAATCCCCATTGGTATGGATACTAGGATTTTTTTCCATTTATAGTTACCAGTAGGGATATATGGAATTTGTTACTCCAGATATCTCCACCGATTTGCACTTGTTGGGATACTTGGATTTTTATTTCCATTTATCGCTACCGGTAGGGATAAGTTTTCCAATATTAGGTATGGCATATTAAGTTTTCATAAAATAAAACGTAAGTCATGAAAACGATTTTAATACAAACAATGTATGAGAACGCAAATTTGCGACAAATGCTAATCAAATTTGCACAAAACTATTTTACAATTAAAAACATACCTTCATTTTAGACAACTTAAAACAGAAAATTGTACTCTGTTGCATTGTACAATACAATGTATTCGTTTACCTTACAATATCTAAGAAAGCACCTACTGTAACTTCTGCCGTAACAAGTTGTAATTGTACATTTTGGATAACAATATCACGTAGAACATATACCCGGTCTAGGAGTTTTGGTGCTTTCAAGTCATATATAATACATATACATATATATATGTATCATATTAGAAAACTTATCTCTACTTGTACCGATAAATGGAAACAAAAATCCAAGTATCTCAACCAGTGCAAATCGGTAGAGATATGTGGAGTAGCAGATTCCATATATCGCTACCGGTAGCTATATTGGAAAAAAAAATCTAGTATACCTACCAATGGCTGTTAGTAGGGATATGTGAAATAGGGGAACGATTTAGGGTTTCGAATATGTCTTGTTAATTGCAAAAATATTATCAAACATTTCGGTCGTATCTCGATACTTTATTTTAAGGAATATCACTACAGAATTCGGATCACTACAGTAAAATTTTCAAATATCTATAATAAATCATTATACTTTTAGGCGTGAATTTTTCACAAACTCTTCTGGAGTTGCATTTTCTCACATGATCAGGATATCTTTTTCAAATTCAAATTTATTTATTCGGCGCATGCACATAGGACACTAAAATATAATAATTAATCACATTACTACATATTAGAATAAACATTAGATTAAACGTACAATTACAAACAATAGGATATTTAGTATTATTCAACATTAAAATAAATAATATCGTGTCCCACGACTACACCAAATAGGTATCTAGCTCGGCATTTGTCGGTCTATTTACTTTTCCAGAAACAGACTGACGCCGATTTTCATCTAGACCCTATGCATTCACCACACGGACGCATGGATGCAAGATATATATACGTATATATTATGACGAAAAATGTATATTAATATTAGATAAATAGAATTAAATAAACTTTTCACTGTAACGTTGTTATTTAATTTCATAAAGTTACTATCACACAACGACAAGTTTTAATAGTAGTTATTTTTTATTCTCAATCCATCTATTATTCGTTGTAATTACCGCATGAAATATTTAATTGAATGCCACAATATCGGCATTGAAACTGTGTAGTTGCTATGTTATTGCCCTATAATTGATGTTCCAGTTACACGCAAAGGATTATGGTCACTAAATTCAATCAATAAAACTCCTTTTAAAACTTCCTTATTAGCTGTACCTACCGCGTCCAATACCAATCTACAACACAACGGACGACGAGAGATAAACACGAGTTAACAACTTACTTATCACAATTGTAAAAACCATTAAGTCATACTCGTATGTCGAAACATTTATCCACGATGTTGTATTCAAAATTAATTAACCGCTAGTATTATTGATTAATCGTCTCGACTATAAAAGGTCATGTAGTAATGACTGTGTCCATTATATTTCATGTGAATACGAAGGTATTTTCGTTAATGGCCCACAAGAAACTGCCTTTATTGTCAATCAAAATATTTCCAACGAGTACAATTTCAGTAGCCGTAGAATCGAAGCTATAAAAATAAATACCAAAGCTCTTAAAATAGTCAACATTAAGGTGAAAATTAATCGGAACAATCGTAATGACTCGATGAAATAAATATGACTTTAAAATCGTTCTAATGTGGTATCAATGAATTTGTTAAAAGCACAATAACGTTTATTAAACGTCTAGTCTGCCTGACAAATGCAGGAAAACCAAAAATGGAATACAATTATTATTAATATTAGGTATTATTTTATTATAAAAAACCCACCCCCCCTGTGAAAAAACCGGAGGTATTCAGGTGAACGTCCACTGTCATACAGTACGCACGTATCGCAGTCACGGCACGCAACGGATTTTCTATACTTTATGTGAATTTATATATGAGCAGAGAATGTTAAACGGTACTTTAATTAACCATAAAGTCCAACCATATTCAAATACGAAAAACCCAATGATAGATGAAAACCTACATGATAAAATACATAAATTATGATGTAATCTATTATGTTAAATAAAATACACTTGCTCGAATTATTTATTTTATCCTAAAAATCTCTTTTAGGCTAATCAAAAACTTTTACTTAATTATATTTGACTAAAATGATAAGAGGAAAACTATCTTAGTTGGCTTAGGTTTATTAGATAC